GCGCAGAGCCACAAAGATGAGGAGAGGCTGAGGGAGCTGGGTCTCTTTAGCTTGGAGAAGAGGAGACCGAGGGGTGACCTCATCAATGTTTACAAATATGTAAAGGGTGAGTGTCAGGATGATGGAGCTAGGTTTTTTTTTTCAGTGGTGTCCAGTGATAGGACAAGGGGCAATGGGTGTAAACTGGAGCATAGGAGGCTCCATATGAACATCAGGAAAAACTTCTTTACTGTGAGAGTGACAGAGCACTGGAACAGGTTGCCCAGGGGGGTTGTGGAGTCTCCCACATTGGAGATATTCAAGGCCTGCCTGGACAAGTTCCTGTGTGATGTACTCTAGGTTACCCTGCTCTTGTAGGGGGGTTGGACCAGATGATCTTTTGAGGTCCCTTCCAACCCTTGGGATTCTGTGATTCTGTATGGTTGAGCAAGGCAGGCAGCCTGCCAGCTCCCAGTAACATTCTGCATGTTTTGCCTATTGCCTTGAAAATGAGTTTGTGTTATACAGGAGTGTGTGCTTGATTTATATCCAGTTAATAGAACACTTTTCATGGTGCAGCCTTTGATCCTGAAAGTAACTTTTGTTCACAGGAGCAGTGTCATTAAATACAAATCCCATTAAATGCAACTACAAGGCTCACCAGCAGTTACAGCAGTACTAGGAAATCTAATATGCCTGAACACAGTTGCAAATCATGAGTTAGCTGATAAAATGCTGCCTTAAGATGGAGTGAGCAGTGCAGATGAGGGGAAGCACTGTATGTGGTGACCTGACCCTTCACATGAAACACAGTGATATTTCTGAAAGTAGTCAATGTCATTATGGATGTCCCCCGACCCAGTTACGGCACAGATCCAGCTTGCTGTATGAGTCCTTCGTTTTGCACTCAAGCTATACAGAAACCATATTTGTGCCCTTGAACAAGCAGTATTAGACTTAGATTAGTACATGTTTTGAGTGTGAGCACAGCCCATGCTATAGTACCAGCTTCTGGACAGAACTGTTTAAAATCGTTTTAAGTGCTGAGAAAAGCAACCAGAAACACTGTTACCAGAATGGTCAGCTACAAGGAGCAGTTTTGGGCTGGCTCTAATAGGTATGCATATGCAGGCATATTTGTTTGCGTAGGCCAGAGGGGAGAAGCACATTGCAAAATATCTTAAGAACAAGAAATGACACTGAGCTGAAGTAGAGTTTTAAAGCTGTTGAGAATGAACAATATGCTTTTTTACTAAACCAGTTGCACACAGCGATCAATGTACACCACTAAAAGAAAAAAGACTAATCCTGCTGTAAGTTCACCTCAAGTATTTCATGAATTTCACATGATCCACCCACTTTTTTCTGTACCTCTGCAATTACCATATCAGCAGCAATAATTCTCTGTTGTTCAAGTGCCAGATACAACATGGCTTTCACATTCCTGAACGTGGCATATTGTGCTGCTCTGTTTGTTTGTTGTTTCAGAACAAGATTAAATTTTATTCACTTGCGCACCGCACTGAACTTTAACCCACTCTTTGTCATCTTCTTAATCAGTGATTTGTTTGTCTTGCTCTTTGGTTCTCAGTTTTTTATATTTACTTTAAATTATGCATGAAATCCATGTTATTCAAATGCCTTTTTGACCATTCCTATTTTTCCTCTCGTATCTTATTTGGAACTATCAATCATATGCATAAAGTGCAGGAGCATCTGATGTTTTTTCTCTCCTTTCTACTAACTGGAAAACATGAAGTAGCTCCTTTCCAACTGCAGCATGAGCATTTTCGTGCAATATTTTAATAGACAAATAGTCCATCCATTCAGCAACACAAATGCTTCATGAACACTTTCAAGATTTTGCTTACATGGGAAAGTTAGTTTGGCTTGATAAAGCTGTAACTTTTCTGTGTGTGTGTATGCATAAGACAAGAGCTGATTATTCCAAATTAACTTACGTTGAATCCATTTTACTTGAGAAGTTAATTTGCAATAGCTAAACAGAAAGAATTCCCCTTGTAGATGAGACTTCAAGGATTTGTGACTACAGAAGGTGCTCATCCTGTCACAAAGTGGAATATTTGGCAAATATGAGAGAAAACCCCTTATCAACATTTGCTTATACAGTGTACAGCAAGTAGTCACAGATCAGGCTCCCAATGTGCTGTGCTTTGTTTAAACATTGATTATATTTTAAAAATCAGCTTTCAGGGAGTTTTCATGTGGAACAGAATTTTCGTTTACTCATACCAACAAGGTGATCAATCACTACTTGTTAGTATGTGCTATTCATGCATTTACCAGGCTGTTCAGAGCTTTAGCATATACAGCTTGTTTCTCTAATGCAAAAAAGCACCACTAGTATATTTTTATCATAGTTATATAAGCAACAATAAGATACAGAATATTATGTAAATAAACATCTTTGGCTATTTCCTTGTGATAAATAATTTAGCTGAGGGATACAAATGGTAAGTTGAGGGTGTTCTCTGTCCCAGTATCAACAGTCTAAAACCTGAAAGACAGAGTTTCTGCATGTATTTCCAGAAATGTTTCTTGGGCATCAGGTTAAAGGCTATAGGAAAATGCCATTTCTTTATTGTTAAAAAAAAAAAAAAATGAAGGGATTGAAAGAGCGGCAGTAGTTGTACAACCCTTCCCTAAAGATGCTAAGAATAGAGTTAGCATCTCTATTAAACCAATTGGTATCTCAGTGCATTTGGAAAACACACAAGAAAATATCTTAGCTGCATCCTTGTTTTCTCATCCATGAATGAACTGATTTCAAAGGCTCTGAGTCTGCAGTTACTCCATGAATAGACAATGGAGCAATTTCATCAAAATTCTGAGTCATGATACCAACAGGTTGCAAGATTTATTCTTATTTCAAGCAGGCTTTCAGAGGAACAAATTTCCATTTGCCTGAATTATAACATTTACAGTTCCAGAGAGAATAAACACCTCTTGGGGATGTGTTGACATCACTGCAAATACAAGCATATAGTGCAAAATTACCTCGCGAGTTCCATCTCTTTTTTCGTCACACTGACATAAACTACTGCCTGATTACTGAACCCAGTTTATTTATATACCCAGAGTCTTTCTGGTTCTCAGAAGTACAACCCTTCTTTTAATAAATGTAATTTATTTGAGCAGGGAACTCATTTTATTGCATAAATTTTACTCATTTTATTGCACTCATTTTACTCATGTTATTGCATAAGACACTTTGTGACATTGGGTAGTGTAAAAGGTAGTGTTTCTTTTGTGTGCATCACTATGGTTTAGCAATAAAACCATCAGGATGTCTCGGAGAATCACTTAGGAATCATCACATACTAGGAAAAACAGTAACCTGGCATTTTGCCTGGTAAGTAATTATGGCAATTAGGATAGCTGGTGTAGTACATAGATCATCTGCCTTTAACCAATGAAGTTTTACTTAAAAATCTTAATTCAGTTGTGAGTCTTTGGGGGTCAAAATGGTGGCTTATGAGACAACATGAAAGAAAGAAAGCCCAGTGGGCCAGACCATGGTTCCATTTAGTTCATTATTGTCTCAGAATGACAGGAGGAGGTGTTTCTTAGGGAGGATACGTGAACTTGGCCTTTTTCCGTGCTTTGCTCCTCTTGTACACCCCCATATCCTACGCTGTTAGATTAGGGATGGTGGAGAATACATCCCTTTAGTAGCTCTTTATGAAACATAAATCTCTGTAGTCCCTTTTCGAACTTGCTGCAGTCTGTGCCTTACAGTTTCCTGTGGCAGTAAACTCCAAGAGTTCTCTGTTTGCTGTGTAAAGAAGTACTTTTCTTCTAGCTGGTAAATCAGTTTGAAGCATCATAAGCTTATGTGCTATATATATGGGTTTATATATATTATTCAGTTCTGTTCACAACTGTTCTTTGTGACAGACTTCCCCTCAACACACATGTTCATATTCATCCAGGAGGACAGTACAGACATAGTGGAAAAACCAGACAGAAATGCATATTTTGAGTTGTTCTGTGCTAAAATAAGGATGTTCTTAAGTGCTTAGGCAGGGAACTTGTGCTTATCCTGGTCACAAGCTGAGAACTCTGCTTCTTAAGTAATATTAAGTAGAATGGGTACTGCAGGGTAATCTAGTGGAAGGAAAAGATGCAGCTACAACTTTAATTTGCTGGTTAAAAGGATTCTGGCCTTTCTGAATCAGCATCAGGGCTCTGTCTAATCTCCTTCCTCCACTCATGTTGCAACAGAGGGTTGCCTAAGTGAGCTATGTTGGCTCTTTGCCACTCAATATTTCCCTTCACCAGGGAAACCCCCAACTGGCTTTTAAAGCCAGCTTTATGGCCCCAGGATAGTGCCAAAGGCGGTATGAGGCACCTCACCACCTTCTTCAAGAATTTGGAGGCAAAGGTGGGGGAGGGTGTTACAGGAGACAACCTAAGCAAGCTCATAGAGAGCTATTTCTTACACTTTATTAGCTGATGCCACCAGTTTCAAATAGTGATCATCCCTGCTTCTTTATTATTGTTACTTCAGGGGCAGAGTTACAAGAACTGATTCATCGGTTTTGGACAGGCGAATAGGGAGCAGCGTGCAAACTGCCTGGTCTTCAACAACTGGAAAGCATACAAACTTATAGGGAAAAAACCACCCTTCTTAAAGTGCTTTGGCTCTGCCATCAAGAAAGCATACCCCTCCAAGAGGAAGGTCTGTGATTCAGGGGGAAAATCCCATGACAAAGCCTTTAGCCCTAACAATTGCATGTAAGAGAGATTAAGTCATGGGAAACTCTTGTGGATGGGGTTGCAGGAATAAAAAGGAACATGCAGCAACATGAAACATGCCTAGCCTCAGGTTTCACCACAATCTCGAAACACAGGCTGAGTTTACAGAATTGTTCACTGGGGTACATGCATCTTCTTGAGAAAGCAGGAGCCTCATTTCAAGGGACTGGGGGGGGGGGGGGGGGTGGGGGCGGGGGGTGGGCAAGGCAGACACAGCTTGGTTTTGCATCTTCAACATTAACCTTTTCTGCTGTGTATCAACATGAAAAGTAAGGGAAACCCGACATTGCTCCAAGGATTAGAAGGACTGCTGCTTCAGGTTTGGGGTGGCTCTGGATCACAGGCTGAGTACACCACGCAGTGTCCAAGTGACCAGGAAGCCTCAGTTCAGACTTCAGGAACTCAGGGGGCAAAGCAAGGCAAACAGTAGCAAAAAACTTAATTTGTTGAGTTTTTTGGGTTGTTTTTTTTTTTTTTTGTTTGTTTTGTTATTTTAATGCTCAAGTCATTACACGGCTGCTCAGCTGAAATCCTAGTAGCTCTGTAGCAAGTCACCATAGCAGTCAGGTACACCAGCGAGCTTGGACGCGAGGAGGAGGCACCGCTTTAACTGGCGCTACAATTAGGGCTCAGCGCCTGGGACAGCCCGTGTGTTAGAAAAGAGTGAAGTTTTTAAGATAAATAATCATATAAAATGGTAGGAATGATTATGTTTAAGAGGTTTATAAATCAATAGTGTGATTTTGTAGATTAGAAAGAGCTATAATTTTGCAGTCCGGTATCGTGGTTAACCTGTAACCAGTGATACAATAGTAGTCTTGGTAGCAGGAGGTCGTGAACTGGGTCAGAGCCTACAGCTGCCCTCATGGCCGGCCGCAAACAGCGCACGCCTAGGCTACTCACCCGCCGCGCCGGCAGGGTCTGCGGAAGAGACCCGGGACAGCCGGCGGTAGGCCTCCCACGGCCCTTCGGGAAGTGTAGTCCTCCCTCCCCTCGAGGCGGAGACCGATGGCGGCGCCGCTACCCACTTCCCCCCGCTCGGTCCGCTGGGAATTGTAGTTCTTCTCGTCGCACAGCCCAGCAGCGGCGGGCCAGGTAAGACTACATTTCCCAGCACGCCCCGCGCTGCCGCTGTTGCCCCTGCCCGCCCAGCGCCGGGCGGAGCGGCGGCTGTAAACAAACCGGGCGATGGCGGTGGTTGTGCGTTCTGCTGTGGGGCTGTGAGTGCCAGTGTGTGCCGGGGCCGGCGGCTCCGGGGTGCTCCCCGGGCAGGGCTGCGGCGGTACGGGCTCGGGGCTGGCGGCACACATGGATGACAGCAAGGTAAGGGGCCGGCTCGGCAGTGCAGGGAGCCCGGGTGGGCCTCCTGCACCTGACTCCGGCGGGCTCAAGCTCCAAGCGGTGTGCAAGTGTGTGATGCGAGCTCCCGGAACAGTGGATAGACAGGGAACTGCGCGTGAGGGGAGTGCTCCCGATAAAGGCTTCTGAAGTAAACTTTGTCCGAAGCCTTCTCTTGAAGGCCTCTGGTTGCTGTTGGTAGAAAGGAGGGGTTGTCCCCTTCTTGCTTGCTGCCTGCAATGGAGCACAGCGCTTGGATGCTGCTTCTGGCTTTTCCTCAGAGCTCCAGAAATGGGCCAGAAGCTAGTGGTCTGGTGGGGTGGATCATGTCTCTGGAGCACCTCTGTAGGAGCTTTGGCTGCAGCCTTGTAATGTGTGCTGGTGCTTTGATTCTTCCTGCATCTGTGCATGAGAACAGCACAGCAGCATCCCTGAAGGTACGGGTCTTCCGTTTAAGCAGAGTGAAACATCGGAAGATGAACAAGGAATACTTTCACCTGCTTGTACCAGCAGGCCCCATAGGGCATGTGTGAGGACTGAGAAAATAACTGCTGTGTCCACTCACTGCAACAACTGCCAGCTGAAGCTCCCTGTTGAGTTTGAGTGTTCCAGATCACTAGAGTGGTTATGGTAGTATCCTGGGGCTTGTGTCAGAGACAGCTAGCTCCTGGGGACCTAAGCTAGGTGAAACCATGCTTGAGGTAAGTCATCTTCTGACTTGGAATAAACTCTCAGCTTGGCTTGAAGTTAAAACTGGTTATGTGGTAACCATGAGCCTCTGGTACCTTATTTGTTCTTAATCTACCTGGTTTTCTTTCCACTTTAATTTTGGTAAAACAAAATTACAATTAAGGCTGATCTGCCTTAATTCAAAGGAGGAAAAAATACTTGATGTGGTTTCTTAGGGAGTAAATCTAAGAAACTTAGATGTGGTCAGTAATCTGACAGTATAGGAAATCCACAGAATGGACTGTAAGTATTTGAAAGAGTCATAATAATTTGCCAATTTAACATGTATACTATTTGTTTTTATTGAGCCTTTGTCTGAAAGCTGCAAAGGAGGGTGGGAGGAATCAGCATCACTAAAGTCAACCAAATGCAAGAACTGGAGCAAAGTTATGTAGTAAGAGCAGTAGTTTAGAAGATCCAGAAGATGTAATTCTGGAGGCATATACAGCTTGTGAGTATTAGATGGTTTTTATTCCTTTTTGTGTTAAGAGCTTTTCATTTGTCCTGTATCAGAATTAACTCACTGGTAACAGGAACCTTCCAAATTTTTCATTTATAAAATATTTTTTATTGATTGTTGTGTCTTGTGGAGACCTGATAATCTGCTTGCTTTTTTTTTTTTTTTTTTCTTCCTGAAATGTTTTTGGGCACATTTACTAAATAAACTACATCTTTTCACTCAGTAAGACAAGTCTTCTTGTGCTTTTTTTTTTTTTTCCTTAGAAAAATTGATGTCAGGTGAAGGGGGAAAGAAAGGAAAGGCAAGCAGTGTGGAGTATCTCCTCCTGTCTTCAGTCTCAGCTACAGTTTCCTAATATGATGCTTTGACTTAGAACTTACTGCCCAGATACTTTTGAGGACAGTGGCACTAAAAAGGGTCCAGCCCAGAAGCACTGAGTATGACTGTACCTAAGCAAAGCTTTGAATAGCTTTCTTACCTCAGCAGGTTTTTCATTAAGTGATAACCTCAGGCGATACTGGATCTTCATATCTTCTATTGAAACTAGCTGATGTTAGTCAGCAAGTACTCACTGCTCTGAAAAGCTCCACTGTAGCTGTTTTTAAAGGCTGCGGTTCCTTTCAGAACAAGTTCATAAGGCAGCAGGTTGCACTAAGGGTTTGGTGGCTCCATTCAAGAGATCCCATTTCTCTTGGGAGGCCTCTTCCCACTGCATGTTATTGTGTCAGGATGAGGCAAGCACTATTTGTACTTCATCTTACAGCCAGTGCGGTCTTACAGCTTGAGCCAGCTTGTCCTTGATATCTTCTAAAAGTTCACTGAGTCATGTTTTCTTCCTTACTTGAGAGGGTTGGTCTGCCTGTTCAGAGTGTCTTACCTGTGAACTGAACAAATGTGAGTGTGAAGGGAATTTCCCTCTAGAAACTGAGATAACTAGGTTACATTAGTAGTGAAGTAACCATTCTATAGCTGCATCCACTCAAGTTCAGTGTTTTGCTTCATCTAAATTTCATAAAGAGTTCAGAATTGGGCTTGCAGGTTGTTACGTTTTCCTGAATTCTTAGTGCGGTATAATTTAGCCTTACCTGGTTTAAGAGGATTAGAAAAATGGTTCGTTGTAACACAGTTCTCAAAATGGGAAGGAAATAATAAGAAATAAAGGGAGAGGTAGAATATCTGAATGTCAGATCTAGAAAACTTCTATGTTTCAGTTTTATAGCATGTTCTTAATTATTCACAGGAAAAAACCCCAACCAAACCCAGAATACAACCTTTAATTTCTCTCACAGAGCTACCCTGAAACTAGGGCTTGTTCAGATACTGGTCTCGCTTCTCATTGCTGTGGTTTGAGCTATTGGTTGTGAAAGGGAATGAGGGTAGTGATGTAGGTGTTCTTGGCAAATAATCTCTGTTAAAATAACACTTATGTACCTCTGAAGTATTTGGGCACAGGAAAAAGGAGAAATTTTGTCACTCATTTCTACCCATGAGAAATTAATGACTCATGTAAGTATTGCCAGAGTGTACCCTACATCCAACGGCTTCTTTAAATGCTTTGCGAGATCAAGGCAGTTACTTACAGTTGGATACACAAAGGAATGTAAAAAAGTAGACTTAGGAAGACCTTTTGTTACCCGGTTCTGATGACAATAAAGCTGTGCACTCTTCAGATTTTTTTAAGAGTAGATCTCAGTCCCTTGGAATTGTTTTAATTCCGCTATATGAACTGAGCCAAAACATGAATGAGCAGATGGAGTTTTAATAAGTGATTTTTTGAGAGACATATTTTATTTATAAATGTCTTTTTAAAATTTATTTATTTTTAAGTAAAAGTGTCACTCTGAGTTCAGCCTTTATAGGTGAGGGAATCATTGGCTTTATGCTAAGTTAAATTCTTCAGACCTTCAGCTAGCAATGCAACCAAGACTCTGCTTAAGATGATTCCTTGAGCTGGATCTCAAGTACCAGTTGATGGAACACTTAAGAATGTCTTATTTATCAGAGAATGAACTAAGAGCTGCTGGAAGGCTCTGAACTGATCAGTGCTATCAGCATTGCTGATCAGTAGTGCTGAACTGTGCTTCAGATAGTATTGTTTTAATCTGCCAAATTGTTGCAAACCTGCACATGTCATGGTGAGATCAGCTTTATCACAATCTTCTCTTGGAGTGGCTTGGTTCCTGTGTGCTTGTGAATACTAGTAGCCATATTATGCATGTATCTCCTTCCTAAGGAGTACCTCTTCATTATGCAATCTGGCAGTGCTTCTGTAGATATCTGCTGAATCCCTCTAATAAAAAAAAATCCAGAAATCTAAGATATTTTTCTTTATTGGGGCAAGTAATTGCAGCTATTTCCAATTCCAGGTCAAATGATTTTGTACCTGAACCCTGATGCCAAGCAAAAATGATGTTATGATCCAAGTACTGTATTAAAAGGGAGGGAGTTATGTTTTACTATTTTCTCAAGTCTGAGTGAACTGAAATAGGAGGTTGGTCAGATTTCTGACAAATGCATGACATTATCAATATTTCTATGACATGTTTTATGATTAATGTTGTTCTGGGTCTTGGTTGCACGTGGCTCCCTGAAAAGAACCTCAAATCCTGACTGACGAATGCTAATAGATCACATCGTTTTGTAAACTCTAGAGGAATACAAAGGGAATAAAGAAATGTTTGCTTGCTTGTTTTTTCTTGGTCTGTTGCCACATTCAAGCTAGCGCTTCTGCTTTGTCTTCTTTTCTGTCACATCGGCATGGCAGCTGGGCAGGCAAACATGACTAGAAGCTGGGGACGTGGGATGATGGCAAAGGATTTATCAGGCCTATTTTTTTTTTCCCAACTGGGTTGCTTAAGGTTACAGGATGAGCTTCTAAATATTGGTGAGTAAAAACTGTTTAGGATGCAGGGTTTGATTAAATTGCTTACCAAACTAGCTGTGCAGGATGATGCATAAGTGTATGGGGAGCTCCAGTTCAGCAGCCATGAAGACAGCATGGGTCTTTCAGGGTGGCATGAGGACAGATTATTAGGGCTTTACTGCTTAAAGTCAGAGTTAAAAGGGAAGGAAGCTTTTAATTATTTCCATAGTCTTAGTGCTTAGAGCACTGGCAAGCAGTGACCCAAGGGGTACAAGCCTTCTCCCTCCCTTAAGAGATCTTGTGTAGTGCTGCAGTGGTGAAAGATCTTGGGGGAGAGAGAGCAGTTAGTTACCTATATGTAGAAAGCTCTCCAGAGGGACTAAAGGGAAAATAATTAATTGATAATGGTGGATCAAGGATGAATTTTCAATGTTCAAAGCAGTTTACACCAAGATGCTGTCTGGGGAAAGGTTGGGTACTATTTGCTAGTGTTAAGTTGCTGTTAGTGAGAAAGAGAGTGGTAGCAGCTATCGCCCTGCCTGAGGTTCTGGTGAAAGAGCATGGCTGAGCTGCTCTTGTGTGGGACTGAGGGTTGATGCAGCGTTTTGTTCATATGGCAGTATGTGGTGTGCTGGGGCTCTGACCTTGAGTGCTAGCTTGCTCTTCTAGAGGGTCAGAACTCAAGGGTGGCAAAAGTTTCTTAGGAGAGCTAAATGTTTTAGGAGAGCTAAATGTGTGTCTACCGGACCTTACCTACCTCTTGAATTCGAAGATTTTCTTGAAACTACCTTGCATTGACACAAAAACCCCTCAGGTACTAAAAGTGTTTGGGGACTGAAGTGCTTTGGCTGTAGTGTATAAAGTAATAGCAAGAAATCTTTAAAGTGCAAGTAATAGATGGCAAATGTTGAGTGCTTACAGACCCTTCTGGGAAGACTGTGCGTATTTCTAACTCCTGCTGAGCTAGGACTATAAAATACACCATGCATAAATGCAACTGTGGTTCCATGAGAGGACAGAGCTGTGCTTGTCATACCCAAAAGGGGACAAACACTTTCCTTTCTTTGGAGCTCCTTCCCTCCTTGGCCATGGCTGGTTAGTTTTGTCCTATGTTGGTGAATGTCGTCTCTGAACTAGGTTATCTTAAGGAGAACACCTTGTCAGAGTGAATGGATTGTTCAAACTGTATTCAGCAGCTCAAATGTTAAAGAGCTTGATTTTTTTTTCTTTGCTTTTCTGAATGTATTGCGTTTGTTGCATTATCCCTAGATGTCCATTAAATACTTTCTGTTCCTCCGTTTGCTTATGGTGGGCAACTACTCCTGAATAGATTAGGAGAGGCTACAGAGAGAGAATTGTGTTGGCATGTGATTGTTGACTCACTTTCCAAAGAGAATAGGCTCAATTGTATAATCTTTTTTTTTCCTCCATTCTAACACATCAGTTCACTATGTTGCTGTTTTTATTGCAGCCTGCTAAGTTTGTAGAACAAGTGACTTCTTTGAATGTCAAAGCCGACTTGTTTTGTAGTACAGCACAGCTAAAAGTGCCTTTTTTATGATGAACTCTGGTTTTTTGTACACTGCCTGTTAGAAGAAGTCTTTTTTTGTATACAGTGTGGTGAAACATGAAGCCAGCAGTGAAATTCTTGTATGCAGGTGTGTGTTAGGTGTGTTTCTCCACACCCCCTCCATTCAAACAGTGTGGTCAGAATGCAAATAAATCCTCACTTCAGAGGGTAGGTGGGGACTGTAGCTAACGTAATGCTTTTACAGGGCAATACTATCTGATGGCCAGTGTACTAAGTTTCAGGCAATATTTAAGACTTTAACTCTTGTGTCATGCTGTCATGTTAAGGGTAGAATATTTGGGTGGGGAAGCATAGAGTAAGCATTGAGGAAGCTATTCCCTTTTTTTGTTATTTGTAGCAAGAGAGGCTTTCAGACCTCTAAAAATGAGTCACAAAGAAGGTTGGAGAAAATGATGCTAAATCTGCACTCCATAGGGCAAGAAACTATGAAGTTACATTTCTGAAAGGAAGATCTAAATTAAGCACTGGGGTGGGAGTTGAACACTGGGTTAGGTTGCATGAAGAGGTAGGAGAAGACAGTTTGCCAGGCTGTGTAGTAATGTTTTGAAGGTAAACATGGACAGAGTGGATAGTTACAATTGGAACAGAGGCAGCACTCAGTGTTACTGAGTTCCCTGTTGAGTGGAATTCCTCAGAATATTCTTTTGAAAGAAATTGGGGATGGGGAAGCTCGGATGGCTAATGAATAATTCTGACAAGTTTCATCTTTACAATAGGCTGAAACTGTAGTAATTTCATTGCAACAAAGCTAAGTTTTGGGTTATGTTGATACAAATAAATATTTATTTTTTTCTTCCAAATTAAACTGTTAAACTCCATAATACTGTATTTCTAGAGCTGGCAAGTAGACTGAGACATGCTCTCTTGAGTGGTACCAGGTGTCAGGATCCTGACTGAGCACTTCCAGAGGTAGGCAAGAGGGCTTCAAGGAATCTCTTTGAAGATATTCAAAGGCCATTTGGACACTGTCCTGTGCGGCTAGTTCTAGGTGGCACTGCTTGAGCTGTGGGGAGTTTGAACCACATGATGCCCAGCGGTCCCTGCCACCCTCAACCATTCTGTGGAGCTCCTACAGATCAGATTAATAGCATTTACAGTAGGACTGCTTAAGCGCTGACCTCACTGTGAAATTGTATCCCTCGCTTTTTTTTTGATGTTGCCACTGAAAACTTCATACGTCAGCACCCTTACTTCCTCTGGTGCTCCAGAATCAGTGAAAGCATATGGAAGATTTTCTGCTTGAGGCATCTCATAGGCACAGTGACATGGTTACAGTATTACCTTTGCAGAACAGGATCTTTACCCTTCGTTTCCAGGTGGTTGGAGGCAAGGTAAAGAAACCAGGAAAGCGAGGTCGTAAACCAGCCAAGATAGACTTGAAGGCAAAACTTGAAAGAAGTCGTCAGAGTGCAAGAGAGTGCAGAGCCAGGAAGAAGCTGAGGTACCAGTACCTGGAAGAGCTGGTTTCAAGCAGAGAACGAGCCATCTGTGCTCTCAGAGAAGAGCTTGAGATGGTAAGAAACTGTCGTTTAACCTAACCCTCAATATTATTTGGGACGTGTCCTCATGGACTCTTGTTCTCAAAATCACTGTGACTGACAGTGGGATTTGGCTAGCCATAAGGTATCAGAACATCAGTAACAGATGTATTCAGCTGTTTGTCTATTTTACATGTTGAATACAAAACTCATGTCATAAGTTATCTGCTGATTTTGAACTGGAAGCAAGCAAAGAAACTGCCATCACATATGATGACTTTGTTGTCTTCGAAATGTGTGTTTTGGAAGGCCTCTGATAGAGGTAGAAAGAGGTAGAGGATGGAAATAGATGTGTTAATATATCAAGGGGGCAACATATATCCACAGTGAGTCATTGCTTCCCACACATGGTTGTCTCTGTTGGGGAAGTTGATTCTTGCAGCATACTCACTGTGTAGTTGATTGCACAGCTGTCCTGTGTTCTAGCACGTATAAGATGGGTGTCTTGGCCAAATAAGCTACATTAACCCAAGAGAATGTTTCATCTGGAAACAAAAACTCTGCTCCTCAGTGATACTGAGATGCCATTGAAATTCCACTGGAGCTGAGGCTATTGCCTTGACCTTGCAGTAGGTTTGTTTGAACATGCAGGGCTAATCACAAGTGAAGAGGGTTAGGATTGGGTGGAAAGTCAGCCGTCTGACCACAGATTTTTTTCAGTGTGCTTCAGGGTTTATCAATGAAGAATTCAAGGTGAGGGAACTAGGAATAAGGCCCGTGTGCTGTAACCGTGCCTTACACAATCAGAAAGGCCCTCTTAATAGTCACTCAGCCCTGGAGTCATGTGAAATACTTTTTTTTTTTTAATAGGCCATGAACTGGAACGGTATTCTGGCATGGCAGCAGCGAGAAAATGCACAAAGTGTTCCATGTTGTTTAATAATTACAGTATTCTGCCTAGTACTGCCACCAAGTAGCAGTTTATTGCCTGAAACTGAATTTACTGAGGATAGATACGCAACCATGGACACGTGCTTAGCTCATTAGTCCTCTGCCGTTTTGTAAGAGGCTTCAGCCCAGTAGATTAAAACCTTAAATGAATATACCGGAAGGTAAAGATTACAGTTCTGTTTTGTCTGCTAATGTGATCCTGGCAGTTTGCTAATGCCTAATGTGTTTGCATATTTCAGTATAAGCAGTGGTGCATGGCGATGGACCAAGGGAAAATCCCCTCTGAAATAAAAGCCCTGCTAACTGGAGAGGAGCAAGGCAAAGCACAGCAGAACTCAACGAAACTTGCCAAGACTGGGAAGACAGAAGCAAACAGCAACAATCCCTGTAAGTATGCAGCCTATGATTAATTCCTGTTTTGTTACATCTTTTGTGGTGTAGGAGGGTGGCTGTGGTGTAGGAAGAAACATAAGGATGTGCTTTTGGGCACAAATAGTTGATTGAAGCAAAGAGCTTAGTGGGTGGTACAAAGACTCTGTGTAATGTTTACATGAACAACATAGAAATTACACTAGCTAGGAAGCTGGGCAGTTAATTTTAAAAGAAGACTCAGTCTTTGTGTCTCACCAAGGCCTGTGGAGGCCTGTGAAGACCTGAGACCTTCATCTTTTACAGCGTTTTCTGTTTTCCTAATGAAAAGTAAATGGAGCACATAAAACATAATTGAATTTTAAAAACTCCATCAAGAAAACATTATTCTAGCTGCAAGCACTCAGAAGTGAGAAATGCTGGACTTGGGGTTTCCTTTGGAGTCTTCTTTGTGCCTCGTTTGTTCTTGTCCAGGGAATGAAATTAGGTTCTTCTGGGTATTGAAAGGTGAAAAGATCATGCGAGATAGAGACATATTCCTGATCTATACATGCAGAGGAACAGTTAAAGTGTAGCATGGGCAGTTCTATATCTCACATCTTCTAATTTTGTAATATTTTCATGTGAAAGGTTAAATTACTGTACATTTTTTAAAGTAGGAATTCCTACCTTTATGTTTTTAAGGAATGTGAAAACCACATCTGTAACTGTAACAATCTTCCCCATGGTGCATCATTCGCAGGAGGCCAATGCAGAACCTTCAGCACTGCAGCAGAGATAGCGTGATAGCTAGCAGAAGAATGCTCTTGTGAGAGAAGTGGATGCATCCCCAGATGCAGGGGGTAGGATCCCAGTCTTCTGTCTTCTTTTTGCTCCTTCCCACATGCAACTCCTTGATTATGGTGTTCCTAAGCCTGTATGAAATGGGGCTTCTGGGTGTTTGTGTAAGCAGAGCTTTGTACTTCCTTTCTCTACACCACCCTCCACAAATACAGCTATGGCAGCTTTTGGGCACTCCCAGTAAGAGGTGGGGGTTGCTTTCGTGTCAGAGCCGAGAATTAACTGGCTCTGTGGTTGTAGTTATGTGGTTGGTAACTGTTATGGGAGTCTGAGAGGTTCTGTAAAATAAAAGCAAGAGGAGGATCTCGTAACAACTTTGCTAAAGCCAACTGCAATATTGTAGGTTGAGGAAAAGAAACTGGATCAAAAGCTTTCAGCAGTAAGGTTTATAATAATGTAATTTGTAACCTACATAAAGATGTTGCTCTCAGCATCCTTTTATAATGCAGCATGGCTTTTATGCAATTGAGGAGAGGCACTAGATATATTCTCTGCCCATACTTCTTTCACAGGATGTATTTCGCATCCCCTGTGCTCTTAGTGAGATAGTCAAATCATGTCCCTCTACCTTGCTTCTAGCAGTGTAACAGCTGCAATCTCTTCCCACCTGTCATGCCCTGCTATCTTTCTGTATCTTTCTAAACTGCAACTTAATACGAATTTTGCTATGCTATCCTTGTTTCTCAGCCAAAGATAATGCCAAGAATTTGGTAGCAAGGAAAACAAGTTGCATCAGTTTGGTTTTATTGTAAGAGAGGTGATGGCAAATTCTTGCAGGTTGGTTTGCTCATCTTAGGTATTGACAGATAACCTGCCACTTTCTTTAGACCTCTCTTTGTCCTCTATATGCTTTTTGCATTGATGTGATGCAATGTGGAGAGTGTAGCTCTTAGGATTTTCAGTGGAGGTTTTGCTTTCTTATTCTTTTGTTTGTGACAATGTCTTTCTCTGTATTATATGAAGTGCATGGAACATTTTTTATTCTCATGTTTTCTTCTTTGTTTCATAGAATAAACATTATAATGAATGACTTTGCTAGACTGATTGTTGTTGTCTTTTTACTGAAATAATTTGGTCTGTTTAGCATTATCTCGATTCAGAATTCGTCAACAGCACTGAAAATAACAAAGTGCTGTATTTCAGTGTACAGCACAGTTATTTTCAGAATTCCATTCTAAGCACTCATATATTAATCCTTAAAGCATAGTTTTAAGTTTATCCTCTAGACCCTCCACATATGTCCTTAGTTATCAATTGCTAAAAATATTGCATAGACACAGAAAACTATCATGAAAGGATAAGTAACAGTGAAGCAGAAACGGGGAGGGTATGAGAGTTGTGTTGTGTCCTTGTGCCCTGTATTTTAAGCTCTGAACTGCAGTTTGTCCTGAAAAATAGCAAGAAACCCAACCCATAAGTTTTGGGATTTTTGTCTATGTTGAATGCTTGCCTGTCCTTTTTCTGGGTTCTCTGGAGGAAAAAAACTAAACAAAACCAAACCCTAGGCCAGATGTCCAGAAGTATACTCTGTGAACTTTGCAGTTGGATTTTGTAACAGGGTTGTGCCAGAAGTATAATATGTTAGAATTAGACTTACACAGTCTAGTTTCAAATGTGAACTGTGTCTTGTAATTAAACATGTATTTCAAATATTACATGTCTATTTAAGTGTCTTTCTGAATGAGGGTTGTAAAAAACATGCAGAAGAGTTATAGTATTCGTGGCCAGAACAGCTCCACTCAGCACTAGGTAATGTCACAAATGCAGCTCTGATCTCACCAGAAATGCCCTACTTGCTCTCTTCCTGCCACTTTTTCTGTCTGTCACTTTCTGTGATATCAAACAAGAAACTTCTTGGGAGTTTTCTTTTATGGAGGAAACAGAGAGTTGGAATTTCTCATTGTGATGAGCAACAGTTTTCATCTGTTCCCCATCATGGTGGCTCCTGCTTCATGGCTTAGCCAGCAGTTGGCATTACAGGATTGTGTTTGGCAAGCCTGGGCCCAGCTCTGTGGCGTGAACAGTGGCATCCATGTTCTAACAGGTTCTTTGTGCTTCATGCAAATGGAACAGGAGATGTGTTACAGCCTACATCATCTTAAACCATTTCCTTGTTTGTCCTGCAAGCCAAAATACATGTGATACATAGTTAGAGGCTCTAACTGCAATTTTCAAACCTGCTCTAGATACTGTGGTTCATTACAAATTTAGGATTCCCTGCAACAATCATTAATTAAATAAAGTTCTGTGGCTTCCATCACATGGCAGATTGTGCTATGTTATAAATGTTCTGGCCTTGGATGGATCTTCAGGAGGCCTTTATTTTGGAGTTTAAAGTTTAGCAGCTCCCCTTGAAACCTAACAAATATTTGTGGTTCATGCTCATTTGATACTTAGAGTCTTCATCCATACTGAGGTGTCTCCTAGAAGTGGTATAACCAGGACTGACTAGGAGTCTCATATGGTACCCTAAATAAAGGAGGATGGTTTAGTCTTACCCTCTTTTTGTGTGAGATGGGTACAGCATTCCACCCATTTCTCCTGCAGTGAGTGTGTGCAGCTGGTTCTCTCTCACAAACATTGAAGAAAGGAAATAAACCTGGAAATGCTTCATTTTCCCACTTGCCATGGAAATCTGATGGTCATCTAGAACTATTTGCCCAGCTAAAGGTGGGTATCTTTTGGAAACTATCCACAGTCTTCAGAAAATGCTGTCTGTAGAATTGGGTGTTCACAACAACACTGGAACTCTGCTACAGTAAGGTAATAAGACTGAACTCTGTTCATGCTGATGGAGTAAGCACTGCACAGTTACACAATCCTTTTGGAGAATGTAATCTAAAGATTTACCAGATAGTAGAAATGTCATAAAAACCCATGCAGTAAGTCTTGCCTTTTCATATGCTGTATATGTGCTTTGTGCATAGACTCCTAAAAAGTGGATACATTTAATTGACTTGTCACTTACCTGAGAACATTTTGTATTCATACGTAAAAAAAATATCAGTCTGCTTTTATACCTGATAATAATAAATGTTTGTCAAAGAATCTGTATTCTAGTAAGTGCTCTTCAAAAGACATGTATCAGAAGTGTTTGTTTTTTTAATGGATGAGATAAATTTCAGAAAGCTTTTCTTGACAGCTGACACCTGATGAGCTTTGTGAGAATGCCTGTGACTTATTTTTCCTTCTTTTACATTTTAGGGTAAAGATAAATCTATGTAAATAATGAGTCTAGTTCTTCCTGGCATCCCATGAAGAGATGGAGGAGATTTGGCATCATAGTTCCATTTCCTACTTTCCAATAAATTATAATCTCTATAATTAGCTATGAAATTACTATTAATATAAGGACCAAATGTGTGAGACTAGTCTAAAAATGCAGAGAAATCAAAGGAAAAGCTGAAATAAGAGCCCTGGTCCTTCTCCTTATGCTTACAAGATACAGCATGAGTGACAGATGATCATCTGATGTAGAAATACCTTTTGTAGGTAAGCAAGGCAAAGCACCAGCCTGTGAGTGGCCTGCTCTTAGTGCTGCTGAGCATTAATTCCTGTGTATGTTGTGTCAATAACTGAATTTCTTGTATGGCTCCTGTGAATTTGTATGGGAAAACAGAAGCTTCTAATCCTCAGTAAAATCTGAGGTATTGCATACTGAATAGCGCATCAATGGGCTAAAATTCAACTGATGCTGTACCCATGGAATGTATAGATTTGTATAGGTGGATATACAAGTAGAATTTGTAGTGTCAGTCACAGCGATTGCCTTGAGCAATTTCTGCAGAGACTGTTGCTTGATATTATTTATACCATTATTTGTATTTTATCTTCACATTTTAACTAAAAAATGCTGTAATTGTTCAGCTAATGGTTTTCAACAACACCTCATTAAAACAAAAAACAAACCCAAACTCCTAAACAACTGACTTTCAGTTTCTTTGTTTCCTCCATTAAAAGCACTTGGGAGGTAGAAGTTTTGCTTCCATAACTAGTACAAGATTTGCCTTGCTTTTTTGTGTGTCTGCCTGTAACTCACAACTGCCCTGATCAATACTACTAACACTAATTGCTGCTTCAAGCTATTCTGTGTGATCTTTATATATTAGGGTGGGTAAAGGTGACATTTTTAACTATGCTGCAGCTGATAGGTATTCTAATTATGAAGGATTTGTGAGTAAAAGACTACAAGTGGATTAAGTGTGTGTTTTCATGAGACAGGGTGTTCCATGTGAATAGAAGTAGCTTGCTATGAACGGTGACTTTTTTCCATACCTTCTTTCTCATGGCAACTTTCAGAATACATTTTGATCAAGTCATACAGTGCTGGCGACAGCAATGCTGTGTATTCCTCTAGTAAAGCATACCAGCAGTGTCCTCCAGCTTCACCACCTCCTTATGTGGCATGCTCTGAATGCCTGCTGATGTAAGAGCAATTCTTTCCTATTCCCTATCAAACATAGATCCTGCTGTGTTGCTAGGTCAGTGTTTTCTGTTTTGCATTTCTGGGCTTTTTCTTTCCCTTTTGAAATCTACTTCTCAGTATGCATTCCTCTTTCCCTACAGAAAAATAGTGTTCTGTAAATCTCCTTTCTTCCCCAAGTGGCCTGGCAGCTATTTCTCAAAAGCCGTAAAGGGTTTCTTCTCCAGAGGACTACATAAAACCAGGGGTTATTCTCCTGTTTCTCTCTGCCTCTGCAACATGCTCTGTCACGCTCACCAACTCACCCTGATTACCCATTCTGCATTTTAAGCTCTTGGTAACATTAGCATAAATACTCTTTCTGCACTACAAGCTCTTAATAGTATTATCATCCTTGGTAGCTCTGGACCTTGCTTCTTGTTTTGCAGCCTAGCAGGAGTAGTGCTGATACCAGCTCACCACCGAGGGCTTGTTCAAGCATTCTTACTGCTCAGGGTCCCCCAGTACAAGAGGGACATGGACCTGCTTGAGTGTGTCCAGAGGAAGCCAAAAGATGCTCTGGGGGCTGGAGTACCTCTTATATGGAGACAGGCTGAGAGAGCTGGGCTTGTTCAGCCTGGAGAAGAGAAGGCACCAGGGACACCTTAGGGCAGCTTCCAGCATCTAAAGGCAGCCTACAAGAGTTACAAAAGCCTGTAGGGACAGGATGAGGGGAAATAGTTTTAAACTGGAAGAGAGTAGATTCAGATTAAACATTAGGAAGGAATTTTTCACTATGAGGGTGGTGAGGCCCTGGCACAGGTTGCCCAGAGAAGCTGCGGCTGCCCCATCCCTGGCAGCGCTCAAGGCCATGTTGGACGGCGGTTAGAGCAACCTGGTCTAGTGGAAGGTGTCATGCTTGTGGCAGTGGGTTGGAGCCACATGATCTTTAAGGCCCTTTCCAACCCAAACCATTCTGCGGTTCTGTTCAGCTGTATGATCAGGAGGAAGGCGACACTGTTAGCAGACAGCAGCAGCAGGCAGCAGTGACAACATTGTGCAGCTGTAGATGTTGGGCATGTGTTGAAACAGTTGTACTGCTTACAAAGCTGCATGTCTTCTTTCATTTGAAACACTGAGATTTAGATTATTCTGTTACTTGCATTTCTGTATAATTGCAGGTTTCCCAGCATTTTGCCCAGTGACAAGGTTCTTAAAAGGGTGAATTTGGCTTAGGTTTATGTACCTGAAACACTCTATGGAGCTAGAGGAGAATTTGTTTGCAAGAAGGAAAATTTTGGCCCCAAGGTGTTTACCTCATGCCCATCAGCCACAAAAGGTTTCATCAAACAGAGTAGTAGCATTAGTTTTCCATTTAAACCTAAAATCTTGTATGGACCTCAGCTATAGACAGGGGACAGAGGTATCTGCTAGGTTTCTGCTCAGCTAATTACTCTTGTGACCAGTATCTGTGTAAACCGTCACAGGGCAGTAGCTCATTCATACTGCAGGGGACCGTTGGTGAGAACCAAGAGCGTTTCCATTCTCACTTCAGCAAGCTGCATTTCTCATTACTTTATTCTTAGGGCTTCTTGCCTTCTGAAATAAAATAGTAATTAGCTTTTTAATTACTAATATACCAATGGAACCAAAGTGGATTACTGCAGGTGTTTGAGAAACAGCCAATTAACTACTACAGCTTTCTGGATTTACGTAATCTTGTGTCTTTTTGCAGTAGCTGCTTAGTGTTGTCATCATTGTCATCACCACACTAAAGGAGTGGCATTGTTAATGGAACTGATATTGTCTACACATGCTAGCAGATAAAAAAGGCTGACTGACAGGTGGAGAATGATTACAAAGGCTGTCTGTTTTAATCCCTCTGCCGTGAACTGCTTGTGGAAGGAGCACAATTGCAGTTCTGTGGATGTATTGATAAGAAAACGTAGGCACAATGATGAATGGCCTCTCAGGGTTGCTTTCATTCACCTTGCATTTTTTTTTTCTGAATCACGCTCTTTGCATGAAGTCAGTCATATAAACTGAACAAATTGGCCTGTTACTAACACAGCTTTGCCTTGGTCTATCAGAAATACAATCATCAGCTGTAACTTTATTACCTGTTAATATTGACTAAAATTATTTTCTTTGTTACTGAAAACTCTTTTTTCCTGTCTTCATGACTATGTCTCTACCCATGGTTGGGGGGGGTGGAACTGAATTATCTTAAGGTCCTTTCCAACCCAAACCATTCTATGGTGTAAGTTAAAAAACTTTTGAGAAATAAAGTGTGGTTTCAGGGAAATTTAGAAGAAAGTAATCCTGAGAACTAGGGTGAGAATGCTACTGGTTTTGCAATAGCAGGGAAAAAAACCCTGGATGTAAGGAATGACTTACAGAGTGGTCTGTAAAGCGTAAGGAACACTCATTTCTAGATCAGTGTGGCAGGTGGGTAGTTGGGCTCTGAGAGGCTTTTTTTTCTGTACAGACGATTGTTCCTCCCTTCATCAAGCTGGAGGTTAGCTGGGAAGTCTAAAGAGAGGTACCACCTCCCAGCAAATTTCTGTATGCTAATGATGAGGTTGCACTGAATTTGATTCTGCATATGTGCAGTGCGAGCTGGAACTGTGCAAGGCGGATGCTGTTGTACATCCTGTGCACACTCTGCTTGTGCTACAAAAGCTGCTGCAATAAGTCCTTCCTTTTACACTCTTCTAGCTGTGCCAAATCTGTGGAGAGTCTTGATAGACTGCTAAAAGTGTCATTTTCAATCAAGGACGTTCCTTCTGTGTCCTTTCTCAAGCAAAGCATCCACAATACCATCAAATACCTGAAATGTGAAATGTACATTTAAAAAATGTTTACTAGTATGAATAGAGTTTTAGTGGAGGAAAGAGATTATTATTTCCCTTGAAGACAAAACTTCAAATGCTTTGTTACCTTGATAGGAATTTCTCATGACAGTTAATGCTATCAACAAGCAGAAAGTGGTCTTTTAAGATGCAACTAGGTAGCTTTATCATCAAAACCATTGTATGGCTGTCAGAACTTGGCTATTAATAGTGTCAGGATATGCAGGTGGCAGCCACTGCTTGAGGGCAGGGAACAGTAGTGTGGTAGTGGAAAAGCAGTGTGTCTGTCATTGCACTCAGGACTGGAGCTCTTGGGTGGGAGTTATGGGTGCTGTTGACATTTGAAGAGCCATTTTTGGAGAGCCACCTTGTGCTGCATCACCCTCCCTTGCAATATTTTGAAATAGCCCTTTATATGTCTATCTAACTTCTTTCTGGCCTGTTCTAAAGTGGTGGCTGCCTTCTGCTGGTGTTCTAAGATTATGCGTGGGTTAGCTCTGAAAACTTGATGCTTTCTACCATAGGCTGATGCTGGCAGTGCAGCTCCTGGTATGAAGGCCAAGGGTCACATCTAACATCCCTCCTCTTAAGGAAAAAAATATACACCCTCAAGACTTCATTCTGAGGAAGATGCTCTGGATCAGTATAAAAGACCAAGCCAATAATGTGGCAAGAGGTGTTTCAGAGTCTGCAAAAAGCCTGACAGCAGATCAGCTCTCAGCAATGCTGTGAGTTAATAAGAAAATCAGGGCTACTCCTACCGCATTTACAGCTAACTGGTAAATAATCTGAAATCTTTCTGGCTTTGGATATCGCTTAATCATTTTCCTTCCTGTATTTGGATCAGTATGGAGAGAGGCTCTGCAGAGTGTGTATGGCAGTAGAGACTAAATCTCCAGGGATAAAGAGAACTGCTGTACTGACTTTCAAAATAAGATGGGTAATTACACCTATCTGTATGTTGTCTCTGCTATCTTATTCTACATGCCCTTAACAAAAATAAAGGCCTCCTCCCCAAACCATGGAAACAAAAGCATCTCTCGCTTTTACTTGTACGTGTGATGAAATGTGTCTGGACAGGTATAAGATGAGGACAATTGAAATTATTTGGTGATGCAATCTTTTCTATTCCTCACAAATGTAGGACAAAATCAAGAGCTGGCCTAAAATGGTTGAGATGCTGAGCACAAGGGAATTGCTGCTGTCTAAGAAGACTTTGTGTGTGTTAGCAGTAATGTAGAATGCATCCGTGGTTTAGGCCAGGCTGCTCACCAGAAGGTGACATTTATATAACAATCTTCCAGTAGGTGTGCTATGTTTTACTAGAAGCCAGTTCAAATAAAGCTCATGTAATTCATAATGGCCTATTCCACAACACTTGCTAGGTTAAAAAGAGCCAACTAATAAAGACCTATTAACTTACAAAATCACTTAGGGGGCTAATAACCCTTCCTTTGAGTGCATGGGTCTGGCTTTAATAAACTTCAAATCTGCTTTTTGTTCTTTTAAACAGGAAGGATCTGATACTGAGAAAGGCTGAGCACTCAGAATTTCAGCTAAAATCGATGGCGTGCGTTCAACACCTTGGAAAACCCACTCCTAAATCAATGTCAATTAATTCTGAAGTCAAACTGGTTGAGTTGAGGAGACTTAGAAAA